ATGTTGCCTAGTGCTATGTCATTGCTTTGAGCATACTATCCTGACTGTTGATGAATTATTTTATACTAAAGATGCAAAACTCTTATTCTGTTCCACATAACATGAAATATGATTTCCTTTGGCTGAACATTATTTATTTTACCTCTTGCAGTAAGAAGTACCCATTATGATGATCTGAATTATAACTAAACTGTCTAGTAAATATCATTCGAATATTATATATCCTCAGTTGTAACAAAAGCATTTGTGATCCAGATGTAGCCAGAAAAGCTCTTTAAGAAATGGGTAAGGTGGACCCAATCTCCCATTCCCTAGATTTGAAGGACAAATATTCTGCTATATTATTTTGTGAAGCTTACACTCTTAAATTTATTTCTGACTGAGCTTTTGCTTATGTGAAATTATTTCAGTCTTTAAATGGTCTTGTCATCTCATATGTACTGTATCTGGCTCATACAGATAGAGTGCACCAGCAGTTCCCAACCTCTTTGGCACCAGAGACTGGTGCTCCTATGAGAATCTAATGCCTGATGATCTGTGGTGGAGCTGAGGCGGTGATACTAGCACTGGGGAGTGGCTGCAAAAAAACAGATGAAGCTTCACTTGCTAGCCCACTGCTCACCTAATGTGCACCCCGGTTTCTAACAGGCCACAGACTGGTACCAGTCCTCAGCCCAGGGGTTGGGGACACCCTGGGATGCACTATCTTATTAGCTAATTTTCTTAAGAAAAATGTGTTTGAAGTTAGGAAGCTTTATTAAAATTTTGGAAAGATAAAGGAATTTATATTTAAATCAAGTCTCCCTGCAACCAAAAAGAAAGTCATAAATTTATTGTTAGACATTACTGATAAAGAAAGTGGATATGAATAAAGCTCTAACATCAAAGTGCCTGGGATAGAATCACAGCTTTACCATTAGTATGGATCACTGCATGACCTTGGGGAAGTTACTTCATGTCTCTAGGCTTCAGTTTCTTCATGAGTAAAATGAAGAGAATAGCATCTACCTCATAGGATTATTTTTGAGGAGGATTATTCCATTAATTCATATAACTTGCTTAAAATAACATAACAATAACTATAACGAATTAATTAATGAAAAGATATGTAAAGGCCTTCTACCATTTCCAAACTTACAACAGTGAGACTTGGTCTTTGTTCCTTCCTCTCTTCTCAATATCTCTTCCTTCATTCCCCTACCAAATTTCATTTTTTATTTTTATTATGTTGTTAAATACAGAGTAGTTTCACCATCACTTTTGTGGCCTTAGCTATTATATGACTAATAGCCTTGAGAGTTACTGCTCCAAGTGGCTTATCGAGGCATTTTCCTAGACTAGGACATTCTGAAAGAGGAATTCTGAAAGCAATTGACTTTATACACAAATATCTACTACACATGTTTGTATCTAAGGCAGTTGCTTCTAGAATTCTATGTCTTGTGTGTATGTATGTATACGATATCCTTAATTCTTAGATTGTATTTTGATCCAATTTAGCTGCACATCTTTGAAGGTAGTACTCTAATGTGTCATCACACTTTGATTATGAGACTGACCTTTGCTCAAGGTCATTCACTGAGTAAGTGCAGAACAGGGATTTTAACTAGACACTGACTACTCTCCAAAGTCCCTCTTTCTACTATATCTAGCCAGTTATTTGTGATCTCACTTAATTCTCACAGCAATCTCTCAAGAGGCTGACAGTATCGTTGTCACTTTTTATATTTAAGGAAACTGAGGCTTAGAGAGGGTAAGTGAGGTTGAACAAGATCACAGCTAGTAAATGTCAGAGCCCAGATCAAACAGTCTGACTTTTGCAGATCAACTATTTAACAATTATGCTATTATGCTATTTAACAATTATTCCCACCCCAAAATAAAGAGGATCAGATAGACAAAATAGGACATCCAGGTTAAATATACAGTCAAGATGATTTGTTCTAATACATACTACGTAGAGCTGCATTTAAAAACAATTCCGTCTATGGCCATGCTACCTTGAACAAGCCTGATCTTGTCTGATCTCAGAAGCTAAGCAGGGTTGGGCCTGGTTAGTACTTGGATAGGAGACTACCTAGGAAGACCAGGTGCTGTAGGCGTAAAAAATAAAAAAAATAATAAGGTATTGTAAGCTGACAAGGTCCTTGCAATCTGTGAGGTCAACCAAGGATTGCCTCGCCTAAAAATAAAAAATAAAAAAAATAAAAGAAAGACAATTCCTCATAGGAATTGAATTCTACAGGATCCATCCGAATGCTAGCAATTCGGTGAAATTTATTTATGGAATACATAGAATACTGAATTAAAAATCATTTGTCTCATTAGCTTTCCTGTTGGTTCATAAGATGCAAATGAAATGTTAAGGTTAAAAACCAAGGGGGTGAAACTACTTATTTTAAGAGGAAAAATATAAGCGCTCTACTCTAGAATACTGTTACTGTAATGTAAGGAGAACCAGGAGGGCAAGTAAGTCGGGCGTTTGACAAATATCACAGCTGAAGATGGAGTTTAATAGTTTCCAGCATGAAAAGAGAAAGAATTCAAAGATCATTGTGTGCGTGTGTGTGCGTGTGTGTGTGTGCGTGTGTGTGCGCGCGCATGTATGCATGTGTCCGATTGTTTTATTAAGCTTCTCCTGACGCAAATTCCCCTCAACCCCATCTAGCTGATGACTGGAAGCCTTTTGATGAAGTACAGTACGAGAGGATCACTAGTTGGCATTCTCTGCTGGAGACTAGCCTCACAGAAGGGTGACTCTGTGATGCACGAAAAGCTATTTAATGCCCCGGCGAAGTGGCTCAGGGAACAATATTTTATTAAGCTTCAGGGATGAGAGATGTGATCCCGCATCCCTGATTTAGAGACACTTTGGGCTCTGACGGCTCCACCCTGGTGTTCTAGAGGAAAAATATTCTTTCATGCCCTCTGCCTAATGTGAAAGCAGCACAGCTTCTCGATGTTCCGCCTGGGAGGTGGTTCAGTCTTTAGAAATTGCCTGAGAAGCCTGTCCATCTGCTGGGGGTGCCTGGATTTCTGGAACGGACGAGGAGGAGCTTGGCTTTTTGTCTGAGTAATTTAAGAATTTTCTGTTTGTAACTTAAAATCGCCACTTAATTCAAAGTGAAAGAGACACACGCTCTGGCTTTGCAGACATTCGGAAAATCCGTGTGACGAAGTATGGCCTAGAAACTCCTGATTTAATTTCCCCCAGGAAAGAGTAAATATTTTCTATTTGGTACTGAGCAGTGCACTGAAGTCATATGCCTTCGAAAGAAGGTGTGTGCGACAGGGCGGCGGGGGTGGGGAGGAAGGGGGCGGAATCAGCTCAGTATGTGGGGAGCCCCCGGCCAACCCGTAGCCGGTCCTGTTCAATGCCAGGAAGCGAGTTTCCACCTGTGCCGCCTCCTCCAGCCCCTTCCTTCCTCCTTCGCTCCCGCCCTTGGACCCAAAGTGCGCGTCCCGCGTGAGTTCTCCACCCCCACCGCCCTGCCCTGCCCCGCCCCGCTACTCTCTATATAGGCGAAAGAGGCTGCCACCTCACCGCGAAAAGTCCCCGAGTAGGGAGTCAATGCTATGGGAGTCTTGGGGAACGAAAAGGGCAGTCTGGCTTTCTGAACCGCGACGAGGCTGAGTGGGCACACTGAACTGAGAGGCTTAATCACGAGGGTAACGCCACAGAGAAGTGGCATTCCCCGCCGCCCACCCGAGCGCGCGGCTTCTGTGTCTGCTCCCTATTGGCGGGTGCGGTGCCAGGGGCGGGGCCACGAGAAACCCCGCCCAACGGGCTTCTGCAATCCGCGCGCGCGCGCCTACCCGGCGAAGTTCCGGACCTGGACAGTCTACGACTCGGTCCTGCAGCGCCTCTAGGCTGCGGATCCGCGCTCCAACCACCTGCTCCGCGCTGCGCCCTGGAAGCTGGTAGAAAAGAAAAGGGAGGGAGGAAGCGGAGGGAGGAGGAAAGAGGCAGCTTACACACGCCTTCCAGTCCTTCCACTCAGAGCAGCCCGGAGTGCTGCTGCCACCGCTGCTATCCTTGCTGCTATCACGGCCACCGCTGCTGCCACCTGAGGAGACCGACTGGACCCTCCGCGCCCTGTTGCCACCCCTGGAGATTCCTTCCTAGCACCCAGCTTTTTTATGCACACCTCCACTACCATTATTATTATTATTCCAAGAGAAGAGAAATAACAGACCAAGAAAAAAGAACCACGTATACCTTTCCGAATTATTCAAGTGTCTCCCGGGAAAAGAGGGTCGCCGGTCTCAGGAGGAGCTGACAAGAGGGACAAGGGCGAGTGTTGAAAGGGAGGGAGGAGGAGTTGGAGCTCTGCGTGGTGGAAAGTTACGTGAGGCGGAGACCCGAAGGTGCAGCGCCACAGCTCAGGGGGCGGTGTGTCTGGGAGAAGCCGCTGCCCCTTGTGTCCCGACCTGCGAGCGCTCCGGCAGGGAAAGGAACGACGCCCCCTCCTGCAACGCGGACTCCTTTGGTGGCCCCCTAGGAGGTGGAGGAATATGGCATCGAAGGCAGCCCCCTCCTGCCGTCTGGTCTTCTGCCTCTTGATCTCCGCTGCTGTCCTCAGGCCAGGTGAGCAGGGACCTCGGAGCATCCCCGGACCAACGTGGGCTTGGGGACAGTTTCCCTTAGTCCCTGGCCCAGGCCTTATATCGCCTGGGTAGTGTTCTCAGAAGCGTGGGGGGAAGTAAAGGGATGGCGGTGCGGACGCAGAACTGTTCTGGGTTCAATTACCTATGCCTCACATTTGGGCTCGGCCGGTTGGCTCAAGTTTGGGCAGAGACTGGGGGCACTGGGTAAATTTCCAGGAACTTTGGGTGCGGCAAGGGTCAGGGCTCCAGGAACCCGCGGGCAGGATCGCCTTACTCTCCCCTTCTGCCAGTGGCTCCCTCCTAGGCGACGAGCTCTCGCCCGCTGTTAATCCCTCCAATCCCTGGACCTCAAAGTCCACCGCACTTCGCTCCGGGCAGTTTTTCTTTCGCTTAGCTCTCTCAGGCAATAACTGGCGGCACTTTTTAGTGATAAAATCCCCTGGTAACTTCTCCATGGCATGAGATGAAGAGGCGTTGGGAGGGGTGGAGAAGAAAAAGGACTTTAATCACTCCCTTAAAAAATCCTCCTAAAGCTTAAATTGTGATTTGGACGCCTCCTCCTTCATTGTCTTGGTAGGAAGTGAGTGTAGGGGTGGTGGCAGGCTAAGGACGCAGCCTGAACTAGAATATAAGCAGCTAGGTTTGTGAGACCTTATTGAGGGGTTTGTAAATTTTTCAAGACCCGTGATTCAACCTCAGGTCTCAGTTCTGTACTGAACCTTAGAAGAAACAAGGCAAAATCCCCTAAAACTAAAATATTTCTCTGGGAATCCCTTTCCGCACCCCTACGGCCGTCCCCTAGCTCTGTCATCCTGAGACCTGCGGATGGCTGACAGTAGTTGGTCCTAACAGCGCATTCTGCGTGCTCGCCTGTCAGTTGACAGAGCATCAGGTTCATTTCCTCGCTAGACTTGAGGGTTTTTTGAAAAATTTTCTCCCTTTGAAGTTTTGATCTCTCGCCCTTTGTAGACAGTTCCAAGTAAAACTCCTACTTGTTATATCGGCTTCTGTTTGTTCTTTTACCCATTTCTTTAGTTTTTATCAAAGAAAAACTCACTCCCCATTCGCATCTTAAATTTCTGAACAGCCCTTCAGTTGGCAAGTTGAGGCCAAAGAAGAGGTTTGAAAGCTTCTGGATATTTCCCAGGAAAACGGGGAAAGTGAGGCTAGGGGCTAGAGCTTGAGGATCACAAGTGTTTGTGAACTGCTGCTGTGTGTGTTTGTGGTGGTAATGGTGCAGGGGAGAGGTGTGCCCTCTCGCGATCTCTTTATTAAAGTTTACATTTCTATGTGATGTAAAGCGCTCACCTGCTATTTTGAGCCTAGAGAAAGAGGCATCAGTGCTGTATCTCTGGCTGTGGGGCGGGGACTGTAAAACGCAAACTGAACCATCCTTAAAGCAAGTGGAGTAGGGCAAGAAAACCCAGGAGGTCGGGCGGGGAGATCTCTTTGGATTGGCACAGTGTATGTAGTTTTCTCTTTTTCGTAAGCCCAGTGTCCGATGTGGGAAGGAAGGACATTCACTCTGGAGCCAAGGGGAAAGAAGGGAGAACGAGGATGATGTAGTTTGTAAAATACAAAGATTCACAGGCCCACAGTTTTCAGTTTAACCTTCTCGCCACTTTGAGAGGGTAATCTCACCTACAGCCCCACCCCGGGAGCACACGCACACGCCCAGTTTTCTTTCTGTGCGGTCGCGCTGGTATTTATTTTCAGTGGCGTCACCTCAGAGGACAGGTTTTTCTGCACGTTTAACTGCTAAAAGGGGATAGGTTCCACTTTCAGACAGCCTGAGTGGTGATTCTACTGGCGCTTGGTCTCTCGTTTCTTCTCCGCACCCAGCTGCGCGCTTTCGGAGAGCGTCAGCCGGACTCCCCCAGGGGTCTGAAGCCTCAGCCCCTAGGATCGGTAGTTTTCTTGAATGTGTCCAGCAGCACATGCGCCAAGTTCTCGGTGAGGTGACAGTGTGTTTTAAAAGAAAGGATTGTGGCACTAAAAAGGCCATGTCGGGACTCAGGACGAAAGTCCTGGACAGCAAGTGCACCTTCTTCTGAGATCTCCGCAGAGCTGAGTCTGGTGGGGATGCAAGACCAATGGCTGGTTTATTCAAAGGGACTAAGTGACTTCCCTGCCTGCCGCCCTTCATTTCCGGGGCAGTTTGTAATAGTGTGTCCAGACCTACAGGACAAAATTCGAGTCCATGAACCTGATCCTGCAGATCTTTTAGTCTGTAGTCCTTATATAAACATTGATTTATTTTAGGTATGGCATGCTACTGTTTTGAAGGGAAGGAAAAAATATGTATATGAACCATGAAAACTGATTTGGGACTTATAAAGGCAATGAAGTATGTGCGCATCTTCTGAGGAGCAAAGAATCTCATTATTCTTATAGAAAGAGCGTCAGCCTGTGGTGACATTTTGTATTGCTTTAAAAAAGGCTTTCCTTGATTATTTACAACAAGGAGGTGGGGCCCTGCAGTTAACTGTTTCTTCACTTGGGTCATCTGTGTTCACTCTTCTCTGGCGTGTTTCTTCATTGCTCACTGATATAGGTTCATTCCAAGACATAATCACACTTAAAGCTTTTTTTTCAGTGGGATATTATTTTCAGAAAGTATTGCAATAGGGCCTTGGGAAAAGCATCAACTCAAATAGAGACCTCCTGAGACTATTAAAATTTATTAATTTTAAAACTGAAAACTGTTTAATAACCAGTAAATATTGTCTTTTCCTTGATGATTTATTTAATATCCAATAAAAATTACAATTTAATAGGGTACTATTTTCATTAAACTACTTTTTCTAGGCTTGGCTCAGGATCATCTACCTTGAGCAAGTCATTTCACCTTTTTGGGCTTCAGCTTTCTCATAGGTAAGGAAAACAGTGTACTAAGAATCTTCTCTCTGAGACAGCTGCAGCTCAAAACTCTGTTTCTAATGACTGAAGATTAAAAAGCTGATTAGGGCAAGGCAGAGCCATTTTTTTCTATTTTTTAATGCTTTCAGATAGTCTGAGTGGACACAATTCATGTAAATTGTTTTACTAGAAAATGTCAGTGGCTATTTTGCTAATTTTCCATCATTTTTCCTAGTTTTATAAACTCATTATAATATCTTGTGCTTATTCCTCAGTAGGCCTGAAAACGACCGTTTAAAAAAAAAAATTGTGATGGAGAGGAATTAGTCTCCCATTCTCCTGGGTAAAGAGACCTCAAGAGTGGGAAAGGTTTTTAGATCTCAAAAAAACCCATTAGTGTAACCCATGCCTTCTGGAAGTCTACCTCAAAACTTCACATACAATTCCTAGAACAAAATATAAGTGATGGTTGACGCTAATATGTTAATGTGACAAAACCTTATATATACGCCCCCAAAATGCTCCTAAACAAAGAAGTTAATTTGCACTGCACCATGGTTGTGAGTGCAATATAGAAATAAATAGAAGATACTACTGCTTTCCTCATGTTTTCAATTCTATACCATTCCAAAATGTTTTCATGAGTAATCTAAACAAAAGTTGGATTCCAAACTTTTTCTGACTTTACGGAAAATTTAAACTATCCTGTCTTTTTAAAAAGAAATTTAGAAGGAAATCTTGTATATTGTTGACTTATTAAAAAGAAAAAAATCAATAAAAACCTACTTTGATAGTCATAAGTATTACCAGGAAATTTTATATCTTGGGGTCAGAATTCATGTGTTTAATTTTTAGCTATGCAATATAAGAATGTTGTCACCTTGTGAAAGTTATTTTTCTGCTCCTTTTAATTTTCTCCCTATTAATGCATGGTTCTGATTAGTAATTCCCTTGCTCAATATTTTGAACTCTTCAAGTTGAGATATTCCATTTTAAGACTTTTACTATATTAATTGAATAATACTCTTTATTGTATTTAATTATCATGATCATTTTATAAAAAGCAGGCAAAATGTTTTTTTTCCTTCTTTTTCTTCTACTCCCCAAGTTTTCACACCATTAAACATAGGCATTTGTAAAATTGAGAACTAAGTTGTCAACATCACTTGGTATGAGATGGCAGTATTTTGTCATATAGTATTTTAAATTCTTTACAATCACCTTGTTTTATATTCTCAAACACATCTCTTTCTGTTCTGGCCATTTAATTTGCATAAAACATCATCAAAGAGCTCTAGCTCTTTGAAGCCATTAACTCAAGTAGATACATGTGATGTGTACATATGTTGCTCTCCCAATATGCAGGAGAGCAACATAGGTGCACCTATGATAAGAGAGTATCTCTGTCCCTCTATGTATACATAGAAAATGAAATTTGACTCCTCTCACAGTGTTAATTTTGTTCTTCATTGTTAGATTTTCACAAAGATACATTTCATTTCTTACATATGAATGTATTTGGCATATTAAGAAATGAGTCAACTCACTGGAATATTAAAGAAAGTTTTCATAGGAGGGGTTGGTGATGAATCAATATTTATTTGATTATTACTTTTGGATATCAATTTCTTTTCAATAAGAAATGAAAAAGACCAGAGAAATGTCCATTTATATTTCTCATTACTTTTTTGTATCAGGTCAGAATTTTCCCTTTGCTGTGGAGATGAAAGTTAAGACTAAAATATATCTTCTATATTTAAGAAAAGGATTATAAGCAATTTGATAAGGTTAAAGTGTTAACAGATATTTGTAATTATTGATGTTTTCATTCAGCTAATTTTCTCTGTTTAAATAACAAAATTTATATTCTCTCTCTTCCACCATATTATTAGATGGAATACCATATATATTTCATCTAGCACAAGTTCTAAATGTGCTGTGGTATTCAGCAATTGTATTATGGTAACCTGTTATCATAAGCCATTGTTGTAGCATATATTTTATTTCAAGAATGAAATTAGCTTTTAGTGCTGCCTCTCTTACATATCCAGTTAGTTCTCAATTATCCAATACATTCAAGAGAAAATCAGAGTTGTGCATGAACCAAAACAGTTTCTAATT